TATTAATCCTACTTGCCTTCGCGCCAATTGCCTTTAGGTATTTTTCTCGGCTGCCTTCTACTGAAGAGCGGCGGAAGCTTCCAGATTTTCATGATAGGCCTTAAATAAAACTGAATGTGCTTTATTGTGAGATGCTTCAACATGATGCAATTCCTGTGCTTTAAGGTTCTGGAACAGATGGCGACTACGATCGCGCTCTTGGGCGTTTCATGCGCAATGAAATCGACTACGATGAGTTCATGAAATTGACTGGAGGGCAAACACTTGAGGAAGAAATGGCAGCCGATGGTGGAGGTATATTCCTCCCATTGGATGTTAATGTCCCAATATTTAGTTGATATCGTGTACAGGTGAATCCATAGAAGACGAGGAGGATGAAGAGTATCCAAACGCCGATAACGGAGCGGTACTAGAATTTCCTTGACATTTATTTAACCAGTTATAATGACGGGTATTTCAGGAATTCACTGTGAAGAAGGAGTATGCTACAGAATACGGTGGCGACCTGCCAATTCACGTTAGGAATCTCATGCAAGAGGTCAGACTTCACCTCTAGTGTCGGTGTGTTGGGAACTGGAAGGATATCCTAACCGGAAATTCTAGGCTTTGTTGACTCGAGAATTAGTAGGAGATTAGCTTTTTGCTGAAGATGTACCATTCAGATTGTCAACGATGAACTCGGAGGATGCCGCGCTGATGTATTGGCGGCGTCGGTACCAACAGAAACGGAACACCCGTCAACATCGCAGACAGCGCCAGTCGTGGAACCAACCCCAGAACGAGAACGAATACCTCGAAAACTGAGCAAAACCATGGATGCCCTTCTTGGGCATGCTAATGTCATCTACGCAAAGGGTAACACTCAAGAGGCTCTTGCTGTTTTGCTGGAGGTCAGTCTTCACTCTCTTGAAATTCTGCTGAGAGAATTTCGATTTACGCAAGTATAAGGGGCGCAGGTGTAGCACAGGTCCATTGTCAGAGTTAGGAGTTGTCACCTGAATTAACCCATTGCGTACCGCGTGCTGCACATGGTGAAGCACTCTTCGTGTGAACTCATTTAGCATTGTTAGATGACTGAAAGAGTCGGTATATTCCTGAAGTCGTCTGGGACAAAATATGTGTGGGGGAAATTGCGAGATTGAATAATAGCTAAGTTGCTGGCATTTTTCGAGTAATACCTCAACTACCAC